GGGTAAGTTGTTTAAATCTTATTTTCTTTTAAACACTATCAGTATATACAATAGACGTCATGTATATTTATGTGTGCATGCATTTATATAAAAACAGACAAAATAAACAACTTAATAGAGGAATAAGAAACTCTTGATAATCAATACTGTTGTGTCTGTTTCTATAACGATTCTACTTCTTGTGCTGAAAAGGTATACGTAACTGTATTATGTAAATCATATGTAAATTACATGCAAATTTTGAGTAGTTATAATATGTAAATCAGGAAAATGAAGGTTACTTCAAAAAAAATCCAAATTTGCCTCAGCAATGACCAATTGTAATGTTTTCTTTGACTGTGACTTTGGCATCAGTGATTTTATTAGTCCCCGTTCGGACTCTGAAAACAGGGAGTTATGTTTTGACCTCTGTGTGTTCTTGCGTCCGTGCGTGCGTCTGGACCTGTATCTTAAAAATGCCTGGACCAATCACAATCAAACTTGACACATACATCATACATGATATTATACATATGCACGTCAATTTGTTTCACGATCTGATTCAAGATGGTCGAATGGCAGCAATTTTTGTGCTAAAAAATCCTAAAAATCAAGCATTTCTCGGCTGTTTATAGATGGATTTTGTTCAAACTTGGTATATACATTAGACATTATAGGACCTTGATTCAGATAAGATTCGAAATGGCCGACTGGCAGCCATTTTGTTTTAATGAATGTTGTTCTCGTGCCATATCTCTGACTTGCTTTCACTGATTATGTTCAAATTTTAAAAATTCATTATACATCGTGACATAAATAGACAGATATTGGTTTGACGATCCTATTAAAAATGTCCAAATGGTGGCTATTTTTGTGCTAAAAAAATCCCCAAATATCAAGCTTTTCTGGCATTTATGGATGGATTTTGTTCAAACTTGGTACATATATTAGACATTACGGGTTCCTGATGCACATCATTTTATTTTTCAGATTGGATTCAAAATGGCTGACTGGCGGATATTTTGTTTCAATGATTGGGCTTCTAGAGCCATATCTCTCAAATGCTTTGACTGATTATATTCAAATTTTTATACATCATGTTATATATACAGTACAGTTCTCGCGGAAGCTTTGGCTTCACTTCAGCTTCACCTTCGCTTCAGCATCGCATCATTATGGCATTGTTATGGCTTCAGCATCGCTTCAATGTCGCGACATTAAAAAGTTAGGCGGTTATCGCTTCGCTTCGTTGTGGCCTCATTATGGCGACAATGTGGCATCAGCATCGCTTCATCAAACAAAGAAGTACTGTACTCATTTCCCCCAAACCTCTTGACCGCTTCCGCTTTTGACCGGTCAATTTCTGTTTTATTTTCGACCGTGCAACAATTTGGACTACTAAAAATTTTCTGGTTTTCATAGATCACGGCACCGGGTGTTGAGGGACGGTGATCACGGTTACTAGTTTACT